CCAAGAGACAATAACAAACACGAGTGTGTAAATATTCTGAAAGTAGAGAAACAGTTTATACAATGATATGGGCTAAGATATCTTAGTCCTGAGCATGTTAGCCTTAGTTGCAAATATTTGGCATTGCAAAAATAATGAAGACTAACGAAGCAGAAATATAATACAGGAGGGACAGCACTTTATGAACCCTCTCCTACAAGCTGCTTAGTGGTTTCCACAGATGTGTGTTCTTTATTGATCCTTCTTGTCTATCAATATATTGTGCCAGTGTGTTTGGCTACCAAGTTGCAAAGTTTGAGATAATATAAAGATGATGCCCATCCATAGCAGCAGTGGAAGATTTCAGGAAAATGATAATATCCAAGGGAAAGAAACTCTGGATTCATGTCTTAACACCCTAGGTATAACTGACCAGATCAAGGAAATAACTCTTGCTTATTTCCTTGCTATTACTGGTATAATCCATTGATGAAGATGCTCCTAAATAGCAGAATTTAACTGTCCTTTCTCATGGCTAATCCATCATGGAATACTCCCCTGAACAGCCATCACATGAGGTTTTTTCCATGCAGGTTCACCAATGACAGAATCACCAATGACTTGGTGATAGTTCACCAACGTAGAGAATTATTTATTCAGCAAGTGTAGTACTTGATCCATTCATTTTGCTGCTAACAGCCAATTACGGGTGACACACATCTGTTTTCCTCTGTACACAACAAACCATTGATCACATTTTCCCAGGGGTTCTGCTTTGCTGCCTGTTATGTCAGTCAATTGCTAAAGCCAGAGTCTGAATAATCAGATTAGAAACATCTCTGATGTCTAGTGCCCTTTATGTCATTTTCTTCTTTTTGATGCTGTTCCATTTCTGTTCAGAACAGTAAAAGGCCAGGAGACATGATATCCCATTTGATTGTTTCAGCAGGTACTGGATCGATGTTATTTCTTTTAGCATCTCTGTGGATAATTCCTTGAAATATCTTTTGATTTGTGTGTTTCAATTATACTCTCTATATATGCAAGACCAATAAGTCTGATTTCTGGATTAATTAAAAATAATTTTTTACTTTAATTTTAACAGGCATGTTCTCTCTAGGGAACATTTCACCATGTTTCAGGGTGACATATTTATCACAAAAGCTGGCTGTGCAAATAAGGGATGTTAGACTCAGGAAACTTCCAAAGGGACTGAGACAAACCAGGACAAAACCTCAGTTTCACTATGAGTCAGCTAAATGCCAAGGCAGTTCCACAAAGCTTGGGCATCTGATTTCCCTTCTGGTGGTGAGATAATTTTAGACTGATGTGTCAAACGAGTGCTTTAAAGTGAGTTATATCCTGTGTAAGAAGAACCACATGACTCATTATAAATTCATTTGAATGTTAAAAATTTGGAGAAAAGGGCAAAACTACAGGTGGATCCAATGGGACAGGTTTCCACCTTTTATTCTTGTAAAAATGATAATAAGAATAAAGATGCTAATGAAAAAAAACAAAACAACAATAACAAAAAAATAAACCCCCAAACCCCAACAAAACAGCTCTGGTGAAGAGTCCCTTTGAAAGTACTCCCACACAACCCTGCAGTGCAATTCAGTCCTGATGAGAAAGTCAGTTGTGACACACTTTGCTTTTTGCAGCCATAGGCAGAGTTATGGCCAGATCCTGGGCTGATGGAAATCAGCATGGCTCTCTTGACTTCAAAGGAGTTATTCCAATATGATTAAAAAAAATCCCCTCACATTTGTAAGCCAATAAGGATTTTACTCAAGGTTTACAAGGAATTCCAGAACACAACCTTTAGCAGCTTAGCTCTAGTAGCAGCTTAAAAGTCAGGTACAATAGTAAGAACTTGTTAATTTTCCCATTTTCTGAATATAGATTAATTTATTAAAGCAAAATATATCTTGTGTAATTTATGTCTCGATTCTGATATTATAATTTAATTTGATGATATTAAATGCTTCACAATGTCAAACATTCTGAAGTAGATTTTCCAGCACTCCTCTTGGAGCACTCTGTATGACTCTAACAATAATGACTTGAAACCCTAGCTTGTGAAAGCCCACGTTCTGCAAAATGATGAAGAGGATATTTGAACAGAAGGAGCCAGTTAAGATAAGAGAACTGTGCATTTCAAGCACTAACTGTGCATGACCCAAGTTTTCTGCATATTTAATACCACTCATGGATAGAGGTCAGAAGTATTATTTCAACCCATCGTAAAGCTCCTGGTAAGAAACAGATGTAAATAAAGAAGCTCACGGGCTTCTCCTGACTTATTGTTACTCACCAGATATCTCCTCTAGGCACTGTTTGGCAGTCTTACTGAACGACAGATCCATTTTAGTAGGACTGGTGCAGGAGTCAGCAGGTGGTAAAGAGGTACTGTCATTTTCTGAGAGAGTTCTGAAATCAAGCAAGAAGACTGATTATTACTATCTGTCATTCATGTATTAATGAAAACAAATGTTACTTGCAGCTCCATCTAGAATCGTATCACTATATGGTGAAAATACCATGAATGTCACGTTCTTACTGTGTTAGTTTGACTTCAGCTACACAAATTTGCAAGCAACTAGGAACTCTCTCCATCTCTCTCTTCAGGAATAACTCAGAGTCAATGCCGGGAAATTTGGAGCCATTTTGTTTCCTCACTTTTTCTCTGCAAGAGGTGTCAACAAGATATAGGCAGAATTCATTTAAATTGGTTAAATCACATCCCTGCACATATATAAGGGAAATGAAAACTTGTAATTGCTGAAATATTAAGCAGGAAAGGCCATGTGGGAAGAAGTTATGCAAGGCTGGAATGGAAATCTGGCCCAGATATTTAAATCTATGTGCAGCTTCTTTTGATAATGTCCCTTATATAACTCTGGGGAAATGGGATAATAAAAGTTTTTCCATTAACTTGCTAAGAGATAGCCCATATTTTCTGTGATGGTGTATTTCTGTGGATATCATTGATAAATTATAATGGGTACCCTTTGTTGAATACAGTTATTTGCTATTGCATAATTGTAAGTAGCAAGAAATACATAAGCACATGGATTATAATACAAAATAGATCACATAATTATTGTCTCTTCTTAAGGAACAACTGTAGCATCTAGCTTACACAGGAACTGTTGAACGACGATGCCATTAAATAGCAACCTGTACCACATTTATATACAGAATTTTACAGCAACTTATTTTATGAAATAACTTTCCAAGTTAACATTTTCTTCAGAGTTACTTACTGAATAGATTTGTTCAGTAATTCATTACAGTAACTGAGGGAGCAGATATAGGCACATACTACGGCACAAGTACTGTTGTGGTGTAATCTGTTGATTAGAATCGTATAACTTTGACTCTACTTACACAGAAATAGAAATGTAAATTATGTCTGATCTGATGCACTCCTCATCAATTTCTGTACTTTTGGGATGCTAGAAACAGACAACTGCTGTATAAAAAAATATTTTTCGTTCTCGTCTACTGTTTCTCTCTGTCACACACTACTGGAAGCACAAACTCAGCACATGCTGCAAGGTTAACTATATCCTACTGACCTTGAATGTAATTTTACATTTGGTGCTTGAGGACAGTGTCAGAAGTAACAAAAAGCCCACTCTATCCCTGCCCAGGGAACACACACCATCCCACCTGTTTTCACATATTGTTTCAAATCATCAAAACAAATGAGAGACATGTCTACTTTCAGTTAAAGCCACTTTTAAGAGGCCATGAATGCTCATGAGTACTCCTGTCTGGGTTAGTCCTGAAACACAGTTTTGGATCAGCTCAAGGCAAACTATCAGCCCAAAAACACATCTCAGAAAAAATCATAGAATTATAGCATCATTAAGGCTGGAAAAGACCCTTCAGATCGTCGAGTCCAGCCGTTAACCTATCACTGCCAAGTCTAAGAGGCCATGAATGCTCATGAGTACTCCTGTCTGGGTTAGTCCTGAAACACAGTTTTGGATCAGCTCAAGGCAAACTATCAGCCCAAAAACACATCTCAGAAAAAATCATAGAATTATAGCATCATTAAGGCTGGAAAAGACCCTTCAGATCGTCGAGTCCAGCCGTTAACCTATCACTGCCAAGTCCACCACTAAACCATGTCCCTAAGCATCACATCTACCCGTCTTTTAAATCCCTTCAGGGATGGAGACTCAACCACTTCCTTGGGCAGCCTGTTCCAATGCCTGACTACCCTTTCGGTGAAGAAGTTTTTCCTAATATCCAACCTAAACCTCCCCTGGCGCAGCTTGAGGCCGTTTCCTCTTGTCCTATCACTTGTTACTTGGGAGAAGAGACCGACCCCCACCTCACTACAACCCCCTTTCAGGTAGTTGCAGAGAGCAATAAGGTTTCCCCTCAGCCTCCTCTTCTCCAAATTAAACACCCCCAGCTCCCCCAGCCACTCCTCCTAAGACTTGTTCTCTAGACCCTGCAGCAGCTTTGTTGCCCTTCTTTGGACACGCTCTAGTACCTCGGTGTCCTTCTTGTAGTGAGGGGCCCAAAACTGAACACAGTACTTGAGGTGCAGCCTCACCAGTGCCGAGTACAGGGGCACTATCACCTCCCTGGCCCTGCTGGCCACACTATTCCTGATACAGGCCAGGATGCCATTGGCCCTCTTGGCCACCTCAGCATGATGATATTAAATGCTTCACAATGTCAAACATTCTGAAGTAGATTTTCCAGCACTCCTCTTGGAGCACTCTGTATGACTCTAACAATAATGACTTGAAACCCTAGCTTGTGAAAGCCCACGTTCTGCAAAATGATGAAGAGGATATTTGAACAGAAGGAGCCAGTTAAGATAAGAGAACTGTGCATTTCAAGCACTAACTGTGCATGACCCAAGTTTTCTGCATATTTAATACCACTCATGGATAGAGGTCAGAAGTATTATTTCAACCCATCGTAAAGCTCCTGGTAAGAAACAGATGTAAATAAAGAAGCTCACGGGCTTCTCCTGACTTATTGTTACTCACCAGATATCTCCTCTAGGCACTGTTTGGCAGTCTTACTGAACGACAGATCCATTTTAGTAGGACTGGTGCAGGAGTCAGCAGGTGGTAAAGAGGTACTGTCATTTTCTGAGAGAGTTCTGAAATCAAGCAAGAAGACTGATTATTACTATCTGTCATTCATGTATTAATGAAAACAAATGTTACTTGCAGCTCCATCTAGAATCGTATCACTATATGGTGAAAATACCATGAATGTCACGTTCTTACTGTGTTAGTTTGACTTCAGCTACACAAATTTGCAAGCAACTAGGAACTCTCTCCATCTCTCTCTTCAGGAATAACTCAGAGTCAATGCCGGGAAATTTGGAGCCATTTTGTTTCCTCACTTTTTCTCTGCAAGAGGTGTCAACAAGATATAGGCAGAATTCATTTAAATTGGTTAAATCACATCCCTGCACATATATAAGGGAAATGAAAACTTGTAATTGCTGAAATATTAAGCAGGAAAGGCCATGTGGGAAGAAGTTATGCAAGGCTGGAATGGAAATCTGGCCCAGATATTTAAATCTATGTGCAGCTTCTTTTGATAATGTCCCTTATATAACTCTGGGGAAATGGGATAATAAAAGTTTTTCCATTAACTTGCTAAGAGATAGCCCATATTTTCTGTGATGGTGTATTTCTGTGGATATCATTGATAAATTATAATGGGTACCCTTTGTTGAATACAGTTATTTGCTATTGCATAATTGTAAGTAGCAAGAAATACATAAGCACATGGATTATAATACAAAATAGATCACATAATTATTGTCTCTTCTTAAGGAACAACTGTAGCATCTAGCTTACACAGGAACTGTTGAACGACGATGCCATTAAATAGCAACCTGTACCACATTTATATACAGAATTTTACAGCAACTTATTTTATGAAATAACTTTCCAAGTTAACATTTTCTTCAGAGTTACTTACTGAATAGATTTGTTCAGTAATTCATTACAGTAACTGAGGGAGCAGATATAGGCACATACTACGGCACAAGTACTGTTGTGGTGTAATCTGTTGATTAGAATCGTATAACTTTGACTCTACTTACACAGAAATAGAAATGTAAATTATGTCTGATCTGATGCACTCCTCATCAATTTCTGTACTTTTGGGATGCTAGAAACAGACAACTGCTGTATAAAAAAATATTTTTCGTTCTCGTCTACTGTTTCTCTCTGTCACACACTACTGGAAGCACAAACTCAGCACATGCTGCAAGGTTAACTATATCCTACTGACCTTGAATGTAATTTTACATTTGGTGCTTGAGGACAGTGTCAGAAGTAACAAAAAGCCCACTCTATCCCTGCCCAGGGAACACACACCATCCCACCTGTTTTCACATATTGTTTCAAATCATCAAAACAAATGAGAGACATGTCTACTTTCAGTTAAAGCCACTTTTAAGAGGCCATGAATGCTCATGAGTACTCCTGTCTGGGTTAGTCCTGAAACACAGTTTTGGATCAGCTCAAGGCAAACTATCAGCCCAAAAACACATCTCAGAAAAAATCATAGAATTATAGCATCATTAAGGCTGGAAAAGACCCTTCAGATCGTCGAGTCCAGCCGTTAACCTATCACTGCCAAGTCCACCACTAAACCATGTCCCTAAGCATCACATCTACCCGTCTTTTAAATACCTTCAGGGATGGAGACTCAACCACTTCCTTGGGCAGCCTGTTCCAATGCCTGACTACCCTTTCGGTGAAGAAGTTTTTCCTAATATCCAACCTAAACCTCCCCTGGCGCAGCTTGAGGCCGTTTCCTCTTGTCCTATCACTTGTTACTTGGGAGAAGAGACCGACCCCCACCTCACTACAACCCCCTTTCAGGTAGTTGCAGAGAGCAATAAGGTTTCCCCTCAGCCTCCTCTTCTCCAAATTAAACAACCCCAGCTCCCTCAGCCGCTCCTTGTAAGACTTGTGCTCTAGACCCTTCACCAGCTTCACTGCCCTTCTTTGGACATGCTTTAGTACCTCAATGTCCTTCTTGTGGTGAGGGGCCCAAAACTGAACACAGTACTCGAGGTGCGGCACTTATAATAACGGTAAAGGTACTCGATGTGGTCTGCACTCTTCTGGTTGAACCCAAATCACAGAGCTGCCGGGGCTGGAGCCAGAGCAAGGCTGGAGTTATTTAAGAGGAAGACTGGAAAAGAGAAGGCTGCTTTTGGTCTTCTAGGAAGAGCACCCAGCTAGGTGGGTGCAGATCAAGTACTCCCAGCATTCTCTACAAAAAGTATATGGACCTTACATCAGTCCACCTCTAGTTAAAAACAAGAAGGGATCCTTTTCACCTGTTCTCCTTCTGATCCTATGCCATCACATTCCTGATTGTGCAACTGTTCAACCACCAATCACTGCACCAACCCAGAAGGGTGACGCAAACCCTTCCCTGAGTGACCAACAGCCTTATATGTAATCTGTCTTCTAAGAGAGGACAGAAAGGATCCATTCCTGTTTATTTGGACATCTAACATTAGAAAATGATTAAGTGGTCTGGACCCCAGCTGGACACCAATACCTAACATTTGCACTGATTCTTCATCTAGTGAATGGGGATAGGTAAACACGGAACAAGAGTACAAACAAGTAATGAGTGATTTACAGCAGCTAAGTAAACTTTAGTATGATGAGTGAATCTGTTTACTTAAAATAACAATGAATACAAGTTTTCACTTGTTCACAACTTCGCTTGCCCAGGTCACATCACACCTTTTAGAGATGTACCAAATACCAATTAAAACACATTTCCGTTATTCAGTGTTTCGTTGGCTTTTTTCCCCATCTTCAAAAATGTGATGCAGCTATAGCCAGGAAGAGAAGTTTAAAAACACTGAGAAGAGATACTTCCAAAGATTTCCATTCCAAATTTTAGAATCTGGTCGGTGGGATTAACTGCAGCACAAAATAGAGTTTCTGGAACATAAGATGGCATTAGAATCTAAGCCTTAAAGTAAAAACACTGAATAACAAATATCATATAACACTAATAATTTTAAAATGTTTGATTTAATTTGTAGAAAGAAACCCATGGAAACACAAACCAAATGTAAATATGATGCGGTTCTCTTAAATTTATAGGCAGCCTGAAATAACAGATCTAAGCAGCATGAAATGTCCCTTTTATCTACTTGAAACTTGAAAGTTTAAATATAATGTAAAATAAATGTGATTTGCTATCAAAACAAATAACAAAGAAACTGCTGTACTGACTTCATTCAGCATTTTCATGTTTAATTTGGTGAAAACATCAGTGATTCTAATTATCTGAGGCAACAACAGAAATCCCACAGAGGACTATGGATTTTGCGGCAGTTAAAGTTCTGCTTACTTGAGAAAACTGGTTATTTATTATGGAAGTGATAGGCCAAAAGGCACCAGTCCTTGGGCACCCATTATGGAGGTACCCCAAGGAGGAACCTGGGGATGGGGCTCTCATCAATAGCTCTTCTCGCACCAGGTCTCCACTGGGTTGCCAGCTGCCAGCACTTCCACAGCAGCCCTGCCTTCTGGTGCATGATGGCCAAGGCCCTGATTTTTTCTGGAGTTGAGCTTGGCCCGGATGGGCTGAGAATGGCCTAGTGGTGAAAGATTTCTAAGCAAAACCATGTAGGACCCCCAGCTCTTGGGGAGTAACGAGGTCTGGGTATAGACTGGGTGCCTAAAACTTCAAGTTGCTTTGCTCTAGGCCTGTCACAGGATGTGATACATTGGAAAAAGCATGTGGATGCTGCTTTGCTTAGCTCAGCTGTTCTAGTTAAAAAAAAAAAAAAAAAGGAAGGTGAAGTTGTGAGATTTCTCTTCCCCTATACTTCTGGTTTTTACTTCTTTCTCTGGGCCATATTAACCTTATAAATGACTCAAGTGATCTCTGCAGGACTGCAGCACAGATTAAGCTCCAGGCAAGCAAACAGCAAATTAAAAGATCTTCTCATTAACCTTACACATTGGCCTTAATGAACGGCCCTCTATCCTCTACCTATTCACAGCCCATTGCCTTAAAAAAAAAAAATCTAAATCCTTGCATCTCTCTTGACATCAAGGAAAGTGAAAATAATTTCAGTTTAGTCAAAGCAACCCCATTGACATTTCTTCCAGTGCTGTGCATCTGCAGCACAGGTTAATTTAGGCAACCGTCATGAAAACAGAACAATCTGTTTTCTATTTTAATCATGGCAATCAGAGAATATATTTATCCCCAACCCACTGAGTTATACGCTACCTATTTGTAAAAGCATCAAACTCGCTTAATGGGACAAATCCTGCTCTCAATCACACCTGCAAAAGCTCATTCAGTTTGATTAAAATGAGCCTGTACAGGAGTAATTAAGAACAGAATTTGGAACACTACTTAGTAAACTGTCTTTAACGCAGTCAGTCATTTCCTGTCTCTAACGAAATAGCCAACCTTTGATAAACACAGATAACATCAAAGATTTGTTTGGTTTTTACTCAACATTCCAAAAGATATCAGATGAAAATGCTGGCTTTTTTTTCCCAGCAGCTCTCTGAGGTGCAGCTGTCTTGAATATGTATCACTGTCAGTGTAACAGACTGGCAGGGCCACATCTGGAATAGCAGCAGTTTGATCACCCATGTTCAAGACATGTGAGTTAAATTGGGAACAGCTGCAGGGAAGGGCTACTAGGATGCTCATGGGGAAGAAGAAATCCTTCTGAAAGGAAAGAGACAATCTGGTTTAGCCTTGCAAAAGAGAAGGAAGGGGATGGGTTTATTCCCTCACATTTTTAAAAAGAGCGAGCAAAAAGAGGAAAAGCAACTTTTGAAGTTAAAGGACAATATTAACAAAGTAATAAATGGAGGCAATCTCATCATGTGGGTTGTAAACAATTTCTAACAATGAGATGAGTGAGTTTCTGGAGGAACCTTCCCATTGGAGTAGTGGGGATTAACTAGTTTAAAATAAAGCCTAGTTGGTTTATGAAAGGGTTAATAAGGCTACCAGTGACAGAACACTGGACAAATTATCCTTTTTGGTCAATTTAAAAGAATAACTTCAGATCATAAACACCAAGCAACTGAATTATCAGGCTACTGTTTTAACTTAGCATTAATCAAGTACATGTTTATAATGATTTCTTCGCTTATAATCCTCCTTCCCATCTCTTAAGCCAACACCTCTACACTGCAAACTTTTCTTGCACAATTACTTGAAAATCAAGCACGAGAAAATGGGAGGATTTTTCTAACCACTCTGTTTTTGTTACAAGTAGAACTGGTGGGTGGCAATGTTTAGCACTACCTACCACTGCAAAATTTTGGTGGTGACTGTTGGTTTATTTTCACAACAGTAATGTAAATAATGGAAATCAATAAAGCACTGCAGTGTAACTTTGAATCATCACATTTTTGAAGAAAGAGTTGCAGTTTTTTTAGCAACACAATCTATTATGAACAAACACAATTAATTGATAGAATGTCTTTTACTGAAAACTTAATTTTAACTCCACAGTCAGTGACCAGAAGTAGCTTCTAGTCATTAAAACTGGACATAAATATGGCTTCAACAAACCCTGCAGATGCCGTGTTTGCAGGATCCTTGAAGAGTAGTTTAATTTTTTCCCTAAGCCAGTATAAAAACATCCTGAACAGGCAGCTGGAATTGAATTTCAATGTGCCTCCAGAGGTGCAACCAGATTATATCCTCCTTCCCATCTGTCACAGCTCTGCACTTCCCATGCACCCTTGAAGCTATGCTCTAGTAATAGAATTGTTTGAATCACCATATAGGAAAGGAGATAGGAAGAAGATTTTAGTACCTCGTAACATGTTTAGTTATTATACTGATTTCCTTTCTCTGCCTCTATCTAGTGAAAACTTTAGTCCTCACAGAATCATAAAGGAATTTAATCAGAAAGATGTTGTAGATGCCATCTGGTCCAATGACCTGGTTAAAGCAGGTCTGGTTACATTAAGTTGCTCAGGGCCTCATTTGGTTGAGTCTTGAATAGGTCAGAGGACAGAGCTTCCACAACCTCTCTGGGCAGCCTGCTCCAGTGTTTCACCACCCTCAAGGTAACAATATCTTTTTCTAGCTTTTAATCAGCATCTTGCCTGCTGTAACTTGCATCTGTTACCTCTCATCCTATCACCCTGCATTTCAGAGAAGAGTCTGGCTCCATCTTCTCTATACCAATCTATTAGGTAGCTGAAGTTACCAGTTTCTTATTCTTCAGGGACAAAAGGAGTGCCAAACTGGTTTTTGTAGTCCAGCATTGACACTGAAAGAGTATCTCTGCAGGGTCTCAATTCAGACAGTGCTGAAACTTCTTCCAGATGTTGCTATCATTAAACTACAAATTTAGCTGAAGAACTGAAATTTAAGCGATACACAACATGGAAGTGCAGCTCAGGATGATGAGTGGTCAGCTAGTTCTCTGCAGCAGTTTCTATACTTTCAGCATTTCAGGCAATAAGCAATTCCTGAGCACCACAGCCCCTGGGATTTGGGCACTTCAGATTCTCTATTCCAGCCATGGAAAAAAGACCCACTAAGCTCCTACAGTGGTTACTGGAGGAGTCAATAAAATAAAACTAAACTGCAGTACATGCATCCAGTTACAACTCAACATTCTCCTATTGAAATATTCCTTTAGTGTTTCAGCAAATCCACAGCAAATGTTAATTGCCAATATATCACATACTTCATGTAGGGTTATGATGATTTACATAAGCTAAGGATTTGCTCCATGGAGTAAGGTGACATTTGTGTTACTCCTGGGTCTATTGGTTATGTTTCCCATTTTATGGAAATAATGCAAACTTACACAATTTGGCTCACAAAAAATAAAGCAATGATTGCATATAACAGGCTGTTCTCTGTGCAAGAAAATGCTTGTAATTACAGGTTATATTACATTTTTGAGTAACACGTAGGAAAGCTAAGAACTCCAAATACTGAGCAATTAAGCTGTTATTCTGCTGCTAAGATTTTAGGAGAAAGATTCAGACTTCTTTTTTTTTTTTTTCATTAATGCCTTTTTCCTATTTTCACAGTAACCTAGTAAGCATTAAACTTCTGTGTTACTCCTCTCCATCTGAAATTTAAGCACCACTAGGAAGATAACTAAATTCTATGGCCAATTTTAATACGAGTCTAAGAGACTCTGGCAGATGGCACAATTTCCATCTTCCTCTAATTCTGACTATGTAGAAGAATGTGTAATTTAAAGTAGGGGCTGGTATACTTTAAACATTTATATAGTCTCTTACACCTTCCTTTTAGTTGTTTTTCTTGCTGTACCTCTCTTATCAAGCTTTCTGGCAAATAAATTACATCTACTTCAGCCTTTCTTATATCAGTTGGACCCTGCAGTCAACTTCAGAGGGGACACATAAGGGGCTGTAAATAACACGTTCACAACCACATTTGAAAATAAATAATGACTTGCTGAGGAGGATGGAAGAATTTATGTTATACCCATTTAGATTATCTCAAATGCAACTCTGACTGTTGCTGCTAATCTTTGAAAAGAAGTAATAATCCCATATTTCCATGCCATGGTGTTTAAGAGGCATAAAAATACAACGTGATATCAGATAGGACAAAGCACCAAGGGTGCAAAGCTGAATAGTACAAGATATCATTTCAGAACGATCTAGTGAAACAGTATTTTCTGTCTACTGTCCATTAATAAAAATACACAACTCCTTGAAAACATGGGTGTTGATAACTGTTACCACATTGCATTATCTTTTTAAGCAAAATACATGCCGGCCTCAACGCAACACTTTGGAATACTTTCTTTCACTCACAAATCTACAGTAATGTCCTCTTGAGTAATAATCAAACATTACAAAGTACATGATATCTGCAGGTATCAGCAACAAACCAGAAAAAGCACTAGCTTACTTATCCTTGTGTTAACAGCCTAAACTCATATTGCAGTATATTGCAGTATTCTGCAGGATTCTGGATAAAATGCACTGTATTGTTATTAAATTATATTGCAACATTTTACAGGGGCTGCAGTACAAACGCACAGAGCCTAGATATTCCTTCAGGCTGTGAAAAACTTAGTCTGAATAGTAACTACTGTTTATTAACTCATTGATCTATACAGCTGTCCTAGCAGCTAACAAGCGCACCTGAAAATTCTGTGTATAAATTGTGGTGACTGCTCAGAAAACAGTTATGTTTAAGAGCAAGAAAGTGTAAATACAGTACACCAGCTTCCTGCATACTTCTACTTGCCATATGTCCACAAAAATAAATATGCTGACTTTGGAAATGTGGATATTTTATCCTTGGTTATATTTATAGTCTTCTATGAAATCATTGTGTACTATTACAAAGCCCTTGAGAATTGTAAGAAATGTAGTTACTGTGTATTTTTGGGTCAGATTCTGCCCTCAGTTACAGAGATACACACTGAGGTAACTTCATCAAAGTCAGTCTATTACTCTGGGTTTATGGCATTCTGAGATCAGACCTTGGCTCTGAGAATTTTATTTTCATGCGAGATTTAACTTCAAATACAGTCTCCTTTGCTGTTTGTTTGAAGCAAACAGATGATTATTAATCCCAAATTTTACTGGAAGATGCTTGCTTCTATCGCCCTTTAAAATTCAAAATACATTTTGCTTCATGATGAAGCTTAAAAGAACGATATCTCCGTCATGCAATGAAATGTCATCAATATGTGGTAAAATTGCCATTAAATAGCACACCCATCTGAAGGCAAAGCATAGCTTTTCTCTCTCTTTATATATGCACCCTAACACATATGTAGGCCATCCTATGTACCACGCTGCAAATCGTCTGTATCAATGAGGTTATTCCACATAGTTATAAAGAAACATGCATATTAAGCACATTCAGTGATACATTTAGTTGAAACTCGAGGCTACTCACTGCATATTAGAATAAATATAACCTACATTATGCCTTTTTCCCCTCCCATATGATTTTCTGAACTGCTTTTGTTCGGAATTAACTTAAACAGTTTATCACTCATCCAGATTGGTTTTGAAGCTATGTTTAGTTGTGTGTAATGATATATATACTCCCTCAGAGCCTACTTCAGCACCTCTTTAATCTTTAGCCAAAATTATCTACAGCACTACTCACTAACAAAAACTGCCAGTATATTTTGCTTAATAATGTATTTGTCATTTTATCAGATGTTAAATTTACCCACAACTGAAGCTAAAGTCCTCCAACAGCTGACATCTGAAATCATTACTCAAACCAGCGTGCCAGTCTTTCTACACTTACTCTGTCTTCTGAGCTGTACAACAATGAAATCTCCCAGCTTCTCTTCAGTTGCTCTATCACATAGCGAAATAAATTCAGACAAAGGTTGATACATGTAACTGTTCATTCCTCTATTCCAGAGCCTTGACCATCAGAAGAGTTTGTATCACCTGTAAAAATTAACTGCCTCCATGGAGCTAATCTATACTTAGTTTGTGTATAAAACTAAACAGGAAAAGGACCTGCAGACAGCAACCTTTTCTCTCTGCCCAAAATGCTGTGCATGGTTTTTCCTCTAATATCCTACTAGTACTGTTACACACTCTGAAAACGTCAGCAGTGTATTTTAAGCAAATATTATTGAATATCAGCAAATAAATGGTGAGGTTCTTAAATTGCAAACAAGAATATTCACTAGAAATCTGACTCGGCCGTGACCTTTCAAAAGCAGCACAGGGAATGTATCATGTGATTTGTATTTCTAATCAAAATATCCTGAATTTTAAATAGCAAATATTTGCAGTGGATTGTTTTTGTACGAGGTAGAGACTCAGAGTTCTTGGAAGAAATTATTCATACAGTAACATTAATTAAAAAAATAATATCAGGAAAACATGTGCATGATGCTGTGACAGAAACTGGGAGGTAAGAAACATAACGGTGTGATCCACCATTGCTCTATCCTTTTCAGGTCTTTTTCCTAAATAGTAGCACAAACTCAGTTTCCCTCTGTGACCTTACCTATAAATGAAAGGAGCTACTGTGGCAGTGTTGGGGTGGCTGTATTGCTGTTGCTGAGGAAGCTGGACGACACCATTTCCCGTGCCTTGGCTGCTACTTGCAGCCATCGAGGCCGACAGAGCCGCAGAGGACCCCGGGGTAAGAGCTGCGCTTGGTTCTTTCCCTTCAGAAGAAGCAAGACCAGAGGAAGGAGAAGCCTTCTCGCTAAGTTGAGATTTTGGTGTTGATTGGGACTGGTTTCCTTTTGTAGTCCTCAGTTTTTCAGCCTCCTTACTTCCCATGCATGCGGATGAAGTGCTCTGCTTTGCTGTTGGCACCTTCGATCCAGGTTTCGGGATCCCACTAGAAGACGGTATTAAACTTTCCTTCTTGGCTGCTGTCGTTTTGCTTCCCTTTGGGATTAAGCTTGCAATTTTTGAGCTCTTCTTTGTAGATGTTTCAGTGACCTGGTCCTTCTCTTCCTTGACTGTTTTCTCAGTGCAAACTTTGTTTTTGTCCCTGTTCTTTTCATCTTTGTCCTTTGGCTGTAGCAAAGACTTTTTATTGCTGAGATTTTTGCTTCCAGCTTTTGGAGGGGTTAACTTCGGTGATACTTTAGGACTGCTACTTGTGGAGCCGCCGCTGTTCATCCCACTGCTTAAGACATCTATTTCACCACTCTCTGAAAAGGTATCGTCCTCTCTTCCACTGTCACTGGGTCCTGAGCTCAGCGACAAAGGAGGTCTCAGAGCAGTCCTAGCATTAACCAGCTTGAATTTTTCCAGCATAGATTTTTGTCCAGATGAAGGGGGCTTCACGCCTTCAGAAGGGGGTGGCTTGAGCCTGTCTGAAGATGGAGTAGGGGAGGTTGCAGGACTAGGCTGCTTCACAGACAGCATGGTAGAGGTCGCGCTGTGTTTGACATTCATGGATTTGCTGCGCCAAGGCTTGCTGGCACTTGGAGAGGGTATGGCAGAGACCTGCTGCTGCCCGGTGCTGGTGGGATGCTGCACATTTCCATTCATGCCTGTAGATGGGTGAGGGCCTTTTGGTGAATCTGCTTAAAAAACAGAAAGAACCATAATGGTACAGTTATTCTCCCATCCCCTGCTTGAAGGTGATACCATACTCCTCTGGCATTTAAAACACAGTTACATATGATTTATAATAAACATGATTTACATGCAAATGGAACATGAAGGATGCTAATCAAAAATGCCTTTTTTCCCCCCACCGTCACGGTGTTGTGCAATACTTCTATGAGTTCAAGAAACACCCTCCTTGTAACCATTTCATTATGCAAATTAAACCTTCCAATTTAAAAATTTCATCTTTAATAAGTCATAAAGAAATTCTTCCAATCACTTGTTAATAATAAAACACTGAGACATGGAAGATAAAAGAATGCTACTATATTAGAAGAAAAACAAAACCAGAGAAAGATGGTTTTGATGTTTAGTGAAAGCAAAATATGTGCTGGAAAGCTGAGGTTTTGGGCAGGAGGAGGAGGACTGAATAATACTGAAATTAAATGGATATGATCAATATTCATAAAAGCAAAAAATGGCAGGTCACTGTACTTCTTTTGTTTTTAAGTACAGTTAACAACCTTTAGTAGCTGACTTCAGGAACTTATCCCAGTGCACTCTCATAGGTGGGAAAAAATATATGAACAATTTCACCAGTGTCAGTACTTGAAAGTTACAGTGATACGTCGTCTACATGGGTTCAGCAACGGTAGTTGTTTTGGGCCTGAAGCTCAGGTAGGTACAGAAGGCTTGTTTATGTGGCTCTGGTACCTGCACTACATTTCCACCATTCAGAAACTTCAGCAAATCTTCAGAATGAATGAGAACAAGACTCTCTCTGCAATATTCAAACTATGCTAATTGACAACCACGATTCTCAAAAAAGTCATCTAGCCTTATCAGGCCAAACAGACCAATGCACAAAAGGGTTAAGCTCTTCTGTATGAAGCTCAGATTTCCAAGACATATCTGAGTATCTAAACACTATTACTCTGGAGCACCAGAGAAATGAAATGGTAATGGCAATTAAATACGTGGTACATAGCTATTTTAGCAGATGACATATTTTCTCTTAGTGTACCTATCTCGTCTTGCCATTCAGTCTCAGGGCTGTCAGTGAATTAGGTGTAAGCCTGCCTATAGTATATCAAAGTCAGTACTACAAGAAAGCCTATGAAACGTGCAATGCAAATATAGTTCATGTAATGGCAAAAAGAGTGCTTGACGTGTTGTATACATACATGAAGCCAAAGTCATGCCTTGGGGCTCCCCTTTCTGAATAAGGTAGTAGATGAGGACACGGAAGACATTTGTCCCTTCAGCACAGAGTCTGAAGTTATGCGTCATTTTCATTTTTGCAGTCTCAGGCCTAAGGCCCTACTATGGGCTATCCGCCTGGAATTCTGAAGGCCACAAATACACATAGGAAAGGGTGGATTTTGAGCATGCTGAAAGGGGAGCTGCTTTTTTCTTTAACAAAGAGAATACAAACATAGCAAAATTTGCTTCTCTAAATAGCATTAACAAGTTCTAGTTTAAAAATAATTTAAAAAATCTGAACAAAAGTAGCATGACAGAAATGTAACAGCTTTTACTTGCTTAATACTATTAAAAACTAGACCCCCAGCAGGCCAATCACCTCCACCTTCAACATCTGCCCAGTTTTTCGTGTGCTCCTCAGGCTGATATGCAAACCCTACAGTGCTAAATGAGCTCAGTCCACCTTCACAGAAGGTTTCAAGCAGCTCTGCTGTGTCCAATTACTAGGCAAGAAAACATTAACTGGGAAGGGTTGCCTCAGAGCATTTTTCAGGACAGGTGAGATTACAGCTTATTCCCCAGGCTCCAGGTAGCACCACGGACATGAAGCAGCTTTGGTGGGCAGCTGCAGAGCTGATCCGTCCCTTGCGACCAAGGCAGGAATTGTGGCTGGGCCCCTGCTATTTTCTGGTGAGCCTCAGATCCTGGAAGAGAGCCTGGAGCCAACAACAGCTGTTGGAAATTACTGCAGCCCTCAGGCTTCCTTAATTTATACCAGGGATCAGCCCTGTGGCTGATAGCCCAGGACTGGGTGTGTACAAGGACCTTCTTGCGCACATCTTACTTTGCACTAAGCTTGCCTTAATCACACAGGAGGATTGGGGTCTTTAGCTATCCCAATAGTTTTGCAGAAGAACAATTCACCACAAGAATATGCAAAGCTAGTGCAGAATACATGTAACAATCTGTGAACAGCAGGATGCCACTACACTCTGTTGTATTAATTCTGTTACATTTGTATTGCTTCAGGCTATTAGTTTTACAACAAAAAAAAATAAAAAGAAAGCATTCTGATTAAAAAGAAGAATGTGTGCCTTGCCATATTTCCTGCTATGTAATATTAAACTCATTGGGAGGAAAAATTGTAAAAGGAAGAGTATTTACTGTTTCATCAACAGCTTGTTCTGCTACATATATAGAAAAAAACCACAGGTTCCTGGAACCACTGATCCTTATTTGATCCCTATGTCACAAACTATAAACAGCATCAAAAAATTACAGAGAACTTTAACTTGCCTTTAATCTTCAATTTAAAGTGTATCCTTAATGTTTCCGCAATGAATGTGGACTGCACGCTCTCAAGAAATATTGGGAGCCTGTCGGTATGTTTAAAGACATGGAATAAAAAGATTTATTTCACCCCCAGCCCAAACGCATTACTTGAAGCTGCACATCATTCACTGCTTTCTGCACGTTTAATTGGACTTAGCTTTAGCTGTTCATTACATGAAATCTGTCCCCACCTTGTGGTGATTTTGATACAGAGTGAACCCAAGCTATGACGAGGATTTCATATTTCTATAAACTACATTTTACAAGACGACAGTCTTCTGTTTAGGGCCCAGTCCCCTTATTGCTGAAATGCATAATCAGCTTGTGGTGAAAACAATTTTGCATTCTGCTTGAGAGCTCAGTGCTTCAGTGTTCAGCCCAACCTGCGTTGGGAAAGCAGAGCAGCAACATCCCCAGGTGTTCAGTGCAAAAAGAGAAATTTCTACCAGAACACCCAGCAAGACCACGACAACTGAATGGACGTTTTCAAGTCTACTTTTCATAGGCTGTTGCCCAAATAAAGGACACGTGAGGGGTTAAACTTGGGCCCAATATATAATCAACCTCCTCTGTCTTCTCATCTGTGGTCTTTGCTGTGTTTTGTGCTGTTGGAGAAGACAGGACCTCTGTGACAACAGCTCCCCCCATTGCAGTATAGTCAGGTGCTGATAATCTAAATATTCTGTAGCAGGCAGGTGCTAGTATCCAGGTTAGAGTATCCAATTTTAGTAACTCACAATAAAAAAGGTTAGTATAAAATGGAAGAGCTGCAACCAATTGCTATAAGGATGTTTCGAGAAATGGGAAGTTTATCTGGTGAGATTAAAAGAATTCAGCTTGTTCAACTGTCCCTTTCCAGCTGTCCATGAGAAAGTAGCTACCCCTTATCAGCACAGGAGGAGAACACCACCAGGGACAACTGGCAAAATACTGGCAGCAGTAGAAACGTAAACAAATTAGCTATAGATGTACATACTGGCCACAGATGAACAACAATTTACATCATCAGACAATGGAATTCCAGGACAGATTTTCTCAGAGTTGGTATGGGCAAAATAACCAAATAGTGTTGAGTTTGCACAGTACACAAACACTATTTTATATTATTAAATTACATTGAAAAGCAGGCAATTAAACTCCATGGCATAGAGACCCCTATCAGTGTTCAGATACAATGTTTCTAAGCTCTAAAGTGTAAATATTTGTTTTTAAAATTTGACTTGAATTAGAACATTATTTCTTTGCTGGACTAAAAACGCCCTGGGTATCCACCTTATTAGCAATGTGAATAATTACTTTATTAAAATAGTTTCATTTTCACAGTTTTATTTTCATCTTTATTTTATTAAGTCAGAAGCAGACAGATGTGACGTGACCTGGAAAACAGATGTGTTCTTTGAAACCCATCCATTAGCTGCAAAGTCCAGGGGGGGAAAAAAAAAAAAAAAAAAAAAGATCAGCTCACTAAAGCTCCACAGATGAGTTTCAGCTAATGGCGTCTTTATTGTTTTGGTGCATTCTGTGTTCCTGACTTAATCATAACTACACACAGTTACCTGTGTCACAGCAATGGGTTGGGTCTGTGGGTGAAAACTGGCTGTACTCAGTATAGAGCAAACATGCATTCACTCAGGGGAGCTAAGTTTCTTACTGTGTGAACTACTCCCTAAGCAACATTCAAAAGAGATAACATTAATGACATACTAAATAATGAATCACTAAATAAAAGGTCCATATCACGTCTTATTTTGGATCACCTTCAGGTCTTCTTTAACTCTGTGACTACATATCCATTCCTCTCTGTGACTGAGTTGGAAACCATGTTATGCAGGGATGAATTTCAAGTATTACATATAGCTGGATTAAAAAAAAAACAACCCTTATGCTGTACATCTTTTCTGAGGTCTCTTTATAGCACATACAGGAAGGTGTACAGCAGAGAAAAATATACCAAAAGTGATCTGGCCTTGAAGAGGTCTGGAGGTCCCAACCTCTAATGACTATTTACCTAGCGCAAGTTGTCTCTTTTTCCGCTTCACTTTGTGCAGCACTCATGCAGAATACAAGCTATTTACTATATGATCTGTGCTTCAGAAATTAGAGTGTATGGACTGTATACCCATTCAATGGAAGCTGTTAAAGTTATCTTGCTCCAAGCATCTGCATCAGAAGCAAAATTTGAAATATAAGGTTTATTATGTGTGCCACACTGTAAGGAAAAATCAAGTTTTTCAACGTATAGTGATACTTTTTTTTAAAGAGGTGTTTGTTATTATTAGTATTACTATTGTGAGGGTTGAAGTTTGTTTCTAAACAAATTCTTCAAAAAAAATCAGGTCACAGAACATCCTCAAATACTTTAAAAGAAATATCAAAAGACTACTTGGAATTTTCTTTGTAATATTCAAAAATTAGCCACTATAATAATTAAATTTAAAATATAGCACGGTTCAATTGTTTTTCTCTTTAGGCAAAGAAGTAGCATGGTGAATTCAAATACAGGTTCTCATGTGTTCTTTTAGGGTATTGTAAAAAATATCACTTTGCTATCCTTGCAGTCACAGCAGTCATTTTCTCTAACTTCTGCCTTATACTCTACAACAAACTTGTATTCAGTTTATATTCTCATGTAAAATCAATGTCCTTCCATCCATTCTGCTGTTTTGAAAGAAAGAAAAAAGAGCAGACAGAAACATCTCAAATATAGTACTCTGTAGTTATGTAGTGTTACATTTTCTATATCCTGTAAAATCAATTGAATGATTATACACAAACAAAGCCACCCCTTATCCTCTTGCAAGTGATGACTGCTAAAAATCTCATCAAGGTTCTCATTCTCTGCTGTAAAGAAATGGGAAAGTAAAGAAATCCATCATGCAAAAAGCCACATAAATGTGCAATGCAGCGCAAACCTTAGCAGTCAAAAGACAGTTTCCAAGTAACGAGTTAAGAATATTAATATCTACAAGCATGTCTCACCTTGAATCATTTCACTCTCCCATATTTCGGTAGCAAACTTATGTCAACATTATGAAGCAATTCTAAAACCTAAACTCCTGTACATACCTTCACTCAAGCGGCCACATCTCCTACTTCATAACTTCACTATTGTATTTGTGAACTATACAGTGTCTGCTCAGTTTTCACTCTGACCTCTTTCTAGTTTTAGCCTGGATGTCTTGCCATAAACAAGTCCTTGATAAAATAAATCCCACTATAGAACTATCTAAAACATTCAACCCTGATAGTGAAAATAAAGAAATAACTATTGAAAGGATGGTTTTATATCTTCAGATACAGCTAGGGGCAAAGTGTGTTCATCAGAATTTTGTAAAAAAAATCTGGATAGCTGCCTGTTGCTTGGATGAAGAACATTCACTGCATACTTGTTCCTCCCACAGACCCCAAGGATGCAAATGGGTACTATGTATATTGTATCATTTTCAACTGTATTCTAACCCAGAGATATGAATAAAATGCTGTTTATTACACAAAGGGAGAAAGAAGCGGGGGAAGGGGCTGGATTAGTTACACAACTCAGAAAGCTGAATTTTTACATTATTGTTTCTGAGATAAAGCCTGAAGAGGCACATTTTCCAGGGAAACAGTGTCAGGGTGGGAGAAACGGAAGGACCCAGGGAACTCTGTTTGTTTCCATAATGGAAGTTCATATTTAAAGGAGGCAATAAAACATGAACACTGAATTCAAATCCCTGCAAAATTTCATTACATTTGACTTAATTCCCAATCCTCTATTCAGACTTATATATACACTAGGTAAGGTTCTGAAGGAATAGATGCATATAATATTCTGATGCATAGAATATTCTGATGCAAATATAATATTCTGATTCTTCTCCGTTAGAGGCTAAGGCGCAAAGTCCCCTGAAAATTATGGCAGTCTTCCTTTGGGTATGAGTAAACTTGAATATGTACCAAGATTATAGGCATCCAATATGGATTAATTTTTACTTCAGAAAAATCACCCAGTGATATTTCCATCAAAGAAGGATAAAATATAATTATAACATCTTGAAAGTTTTCAGTTCTGAACTTTAATCCCAACTCAACCACAAGTCCTCATTCAGAGCCCTGTCTCCATAGGTCTTCCTTACCAAGTCTAAATATTACATTCACTTCTTTGACCCTTGTGGACATGTTCTTTTGGTGTGTTTTGTTTTTTGTTTGTTTGTTTTTTTTTTCCCCTTTTGTATGTTATCTAGAGTAAGCTTACTGACTTTTAATCACTTACCTTTTTCATTTCCGTTTGCATATTGTGGAGGCTTGTTTTTGTCAATGCTGTTAAAGCTCTGGCTTCTCCGATTTAAATTAGAAGCTCCCTGGACTTTGGTACTGCTGCCTGCAGCTGGCACCCTTGAGGGTCCTGGAAGCCTGGAATGGTATAATCAGAAATCAGTTCATTTTATGTAATGCAACATATAGAGGAGGCAGTATGCAAATATCAGACCAGAACTGAAAACCAACAACTGAAAACAATGATTTCAGGTAAGCAACAACGAACAGGAGGATTCAAATTAGTTAGACTCCACAAATGAAAATAAAAGCTTATCCTTACGCACACAAAAGGGAAAAAGATGCTTTCTAGAGTCACAAGACACGTAAGAAGATGCTTTGCATTTGCCATTAACATTGCTAAAACAGATTCACCCTAACAAACCATTAAAGTGCAATATCAAGTTTTATTTAAATCTGTCACTTTTGAAGAGGAAATGTTACAGAAATTGATTAGAAAGCACAATACATAGTTGAGAAATATTTCGTATCTCTTACTCTAGTAAATGTTTCACAGCTGTGTTTAGCATAAAAGCTGGCTTTTTAGTTATCTTTTATGGTTATTTTTCAGAGGGCTATCAGCTAAAGCACTTACACCTTATTATCTTAAATGAAAAATATTGAAAATACATATTTAGGTAGATGCTACAGATGCATGTATACCTTTGAGACAGAAGTATATAATGCAGACTATATAGTTCATTTGTTAGTATTTGCTGCCACCATCTGAACCTTACTGTGTGGCTATGCTAAGGAAAAAAATGTAGACTCTCTTGGTCCTGGGATGTGTAAGCCTGCATCTTTTTTTCTGCCTGAATCTGTTCTCTGATGTAAGATTCTTTAATACATGCTTACTTCAAACTTTCTGCAGCATCATTGTGGGTACCCCCACTCCTTTCCAGTTTTGTTATCTGATAGACAAAATGAAATGCTCAAACCAGCAAGAGGCTTTTGCCACAGGAGAAGAATATCTCTCTTCTGTTTCTCACTATTGGAATATGGTGATTTTAATAGTGGCAATCCAAATTATACCAGAGTTACCGAATTCTGTTAGTTTCACTACATTATGAAAGAGCAGCATCAGAAGGGAGAAAAAAATCACGTTACAAAGAATTACAAAACGTTAGATTTCTTCCAAACTTTTTTGTTAATATACTGGCATAACAGAAATGTTCAAATCATTTTATTTTCATTAGCGAACATATGTAAACATCTCCATGTTCTCTTCCTTTACCAATTTAAGCCTCAGAGAGCTAATCCATTAGTTATTTTTATGGCTCATTCTGGCCGCCAGCCTGCCCTGCTAGTCTCTGTGCCGAGCCCAGAGCAGACAGTCTCTGCTCTGCAGCTGTACACATGCTAACCTTTACCGTGACCCATGAATTCGAGTGATCTTCTGTTCCCTGAAGAATGCACTAAAACAAACTTAAAAATCCATTTGCTCCTTCTCATTACCCTAATTTGACAGGCAGTAAGAGCCCTGAGATCACTTGTCAAAGGTAATGAAAAAAGCAATGAGAAGGCATGTGCAACACTGGAAACTCATCTGTTCTGTTAAAATATAAAATACTTCTGCATATATTCTGCATGCCAGAATTCGAGAACTTGCCACAGTAAGCACATTATACATGAGGTCATTTACTCTGCACACTTTCCAGTTTACCTCATTTGCTGTCTTTTTTAATTGAATTCAGGTTTTAAATTGCTCTTGCAGAATCATGTTAAGCAGCTAAGGAAATGCAAAGAGGAGAATAACAAATAAGGGACAAGTCACATACCTCTGAACAGGCTTCGGAAACACTGCCACAGATTTAAAGTATTAGACAATAAGACTGTTAACCCCGACATGTTGAATGTGGACAAGACAGGAGCATCAGCAATAAGGAAAACTGAAGACCTATAAATGCAGGTGCAAAGCAACTGGACCATGGTATAGCTCATTCCAAGCTATCACCAGCAACTCAAATTGTGTTAGTGCGCTATACTGCGAAATGCAAACTTTATTGTAGATTATGCAATTTAGAGTTCATTGTTCTCACCAATGAACTGTACAGCAAAGGTATAATTAATGAACACATTAATTATCCCCCACAAAAAAAAAAAAGCTAGAGACAAGATTAAGCTTTAGACCTCAGTTTCTTTCTTCTGCAGTCTGGCTTGTAGATTTTAGTGCTCATGGAAGTGATAAAATAAAAGTACTGATGAAATCTGAAACAGGTCAGCTCCTACACACAGCTCTGTCAAATTCACTGCCAAAACAAAGCATCTCATCAGTGGGGACTGTGTGCAGGCTACTCTTGATGGAGCAGAAGTCTTGGAAGTGGTTCTTTTTTTCTGCTCTATTTTGCTTCTGCATGAACTTGGCTCTGTGAACTCAGCTTCTCAGGTGGGTTTGCAGTACATGCAAAACAGCTAGGGGGAATTGGGATGGACTCCCAAACTTCTTTTCACTCATGACTAAAGTAAGGATTTGAGCTAGAGAGCAGAGAGCACTAAAATCACCAACTAATCCTTCACATCCAATATTTTACATGCAAGATACAAAGATGCAGGATACATAACAACCAGAAATATTACTAATATGCAGTACAAATCAGCTCCTTCCAGTCCATACAAGGCTTTCCCATGGCAAAGCTCATCGCTGCAAAGCTTGCACGCATAACATAAATACACATTGTTTAATGTCTCTTTAAGTCCAAAGGATAAAATATCAATGGGCATATACTTGCTTGACTATCACTAACAAGCAATAAATTAGAGATATTTAACTGACCTAGAAGTCTTTTTTTGACTGGTTGCAATTCCACTGTGATTAGACTGAGTTGCATATCTGGCTGTGAGACTGTATGAGAAGAAACAGAGAAATTGAATTAAAGGATTTCTTTGAACATGTATAGAAAGAACACACTTACCAGCAAACAATGAGTTAATGAATGCAAATTGAACATGGATAGAAAACACAAATTAATTGGCAAAAATATGAAATAATGCAAACATGCAGATTTTTATGAGAGATGCAATGCACAGATTATGAAATAATGGATATTGTTATAAGTTGTCTAATTTGCTAGAAATTATCTTAGGAATAGACAATGCGAGCAAATTTCCAGTGACTGAATTACTGAAGTCTAGCTCAATTCACACAGAGTGCACCACAAAACTTTGTGCTGGTTTGTTTTTTTTTTTCCGACCATAAAAAGTACTAAGCACAAATATACAGCTACTAGTTTCTCCAGCAACCTGACTAGGTTCACAGTCTGGCAGTTAGGAACAAATTTGCTATACTAGATCCAATGTGGAGTCAGAAAAATTCCTGCTAAAGAAAGGTGACCCTTCTGACAGTAGAGCTATATGGAAGAAGCATCCTATCATAATTTTCATTACCTTTACAGCAGCACAGGTCATGTAGGTGATGCATTACCAAGGCAATGAATCAGAGGCTTCATTAGGAAGGCCCTGACATGTGCTTAGACTCACTGTTAAATTCCGTAGGAAAATGCACCTTCATCTATTAAGGCATCTGAGTAGTATTTCTGCAACAGAAGATCCCGTGCTACAGAAGTCCCGTGCTACAGGACTAAAAATTGTATATTCCTTTTAACACCCAACAATGTGTCACTACTAAACAGCAAATTTATGCCTCTATTCTTTTAGACATTTGCATAAGGGATATGTCAAATGCATGGCCAAGGTAAGGCCTCCTGCCAGGTAATTTCAGTTACTATAAACAGGTGCATCCTTTGGGATCCACACAGCCTAAGGATATAGACAGGTGCTTAAGCCAGGTGCAATTATATCAAATTCCTTGCATTATTAAGGAAGCGATGGAGAACAGAGTAAGCAGAAATTCTGATAGTCACAGATTGCTTTTGTCCCTTACAGTTCTGCATCTTTCAGCAATTCTTCTGAGTAGCAGCAGAAACCACAGTGCTCTAGTCCCAGCTTTATAGACTGGCAGCACTTACAAGAAACACCTGGTGGTACTGAGTCTACCAGAAAAGCATTAAGCAATTTCTCCTAGTCCACTGAAGCAGAAAGCCTGAGTATAGAGCAGATGGGAGAAGCCCTCAAAGGAGAAAGGTCTTCCCATACTGGCACAGCAGTCCTGAAGAGGGGCAAGTGGAAGGCACAAACCAAGGGACAATGTGAGACTTGAATGGGATGCATGATTATTGCTACTTTACCAAATTAAACCCCACTAAAGGGTTCAGCATTGCCTCTGTGCCTGCCAGTTACAAATAGCACACATGCACATGACGAATATAAAAAAAAAAAAGGAGAGTACTTCAGTCTTAAGAGAGCAAAAGGGAGTTATTCAATATATAAAAGCAGCATTCAATTCTCTGACATATGTCTTCACAGTAATGCTGACAAAGCGCTTTTTTGTATGACCATAACTTCTGTGGGAATTATAATAAATTATAATAGTATTATAATAATTACAGTTTTTATATTTTTATCTATCTAGTCATTAGTATATTGAATTATATTTCACTTAGAGTTATCTTTCTTGATAATGTCTGGACTTACGATGCAAATGTGACATAGGTTGTTTTGCTGAAATTGCTAAATTTGTGCCTGGCATAACAGCCCATGTTTTGATGAGATCTTCCACTCATGGTTCTTTCAACATATTTAAAATGAAGGAATTTAGAAATGGTTAGCTGTTTACCTGCATTGACTAAACTAAGAAGTTTGCGAGAAAAATGGTATGTCAAATAAAACCTTAGTGCATTTATGTTGTAAAAGGTAAAATGATACATGGTACAATCAACACGGACAGTGAGCTGGAAAAACAGAGTGAACAGGATGCATTGCCATAGCATATTGTAGCTTTTCTACCTCAAACAACACGACTCCAAAGTAACTGGAAAGATTAAATAACTTAATCTCAGTGATGTTGCCGAGTTGTTGATAAGCTAGCCCACGGACAGACGTCACCTTTTTGTTTTCTTTTTCTTTTTAATAGCAATAAATACATGAAGCACCTATCTGGAAATGGTTGCGAGAATGCTTTCCTTCTATGCCTGTTACTTGGGACTCCATCCACTAGCAAATCCATGAAACATCAGCCTATAGACCGCTTTCGAAATTTCCAGACAGGCTTGAAAGTCATTGATGGATGTGTCAACATCAGTAAAGTATCATTCCCACTGTGACTGAGCAAATTTATTTTCCACAGTAATGTGACAAATGAAAGGGAAAAAGAGAATTTTAACAGCTCATAAACCAGGTGCATCAAGTTCCTAATGACTTTGGGTTTTCCTTCTCCATTAGCACTGGATGTGCTGGACCCATTAAAGCTTTGCACGGATGCCTGTTTCCCAGCTGCTGGCCCCACTATTACAGATGTGAACTGCAACACAGTTGCAGACTAGATTTTAGTTTAGCCGCTCTTCTAAATGTATAAGCAAATATTTACCTGCTGCCCTCTATCCTACCAGATAATTGTTTGTGGATAACACCTGGCAGTCAGGAAACTAAACCTGTTTTGCTTAAAACAGTTAGTTTTTATGCTTACAGATCCACACAAAGGTATAATAAATATGTGCTTGCAATAAAGCACCAAATGCATATTAACAAACCAGACAGTACAAGCTTAACGCTATAGCATTTAGGACAAGGAAGGATTTATTTGTCAGAGGGCCGGAAAGGGGGATTTTGAAAGCCTCTGATTCTCCGCTGTCTGTTCCCAAGACCTTTTCCACTGCCATAATAATCCTACCAGCAGTCTTCCCCAACATGGTTACAGCTTCAACTCCTCTGAGGAGCCGCAGCAGTCGCCTGCAAAGCCCAGCCACAGTGCATTGGCAGGAAGGGGACATATAAACTACAGAGGAGACCAACCCTGACTGCAGAGCCTGCAGGAAATCCCGCGGCTCCCAAGGCTACAGCCCAGCATTGCAGTGCTGGGGCAATCTCAGCACCAGCCCTGGGCCAGGACCAGGCATCATGCTTAGCTCTCCTCTTCCACCTAACGCAACGGGGAAGACACAACTGATGCTCCTGGTTAAGCAAATCTTGTTCAAAACAGGTACGATGGCATATATGCATCTGACCCCAAATCCTAAGAAATCATTTGCACTCTGCAAAATGACTTCCAGGTGGAAATTAAGCCCCAATATTTTCTCTTGCAAACCAGGGAAACACTAGTCAACACAGCAACTATGAAATGGTGACAGTGGGTAATTTGTTGCTGGTCCCTTGGTTAAATGCTGTGAGAAAACGGAATAAACATCCTGAGACTGCCCAGAAAGGCAGTTCAGCACAGAGGTAGCTGGGGTAGTAGTGAGAAGGAAGATACAGAGATGTTAGAGATTGTACTGACCCTGAGGTGCTGATGGGGCACACCACAGCTGTACTACAGCCAAGCTGCCCTGCTGGTTGCAGGAACCAGGACTCTGCTCTACGCCACGTGGCCATGCAGCATAGTCAGTCGCATTGGGGAGCTATGCACCATGTTCCACCAAGATGGGGAACTGATCAAGGGCATGCAGTTGCAGGCAGGATAAAAGGGTTTAAGGAATGGTCCCAAAAGGTGTAGGGGGACGTAGGAAGTCAACATAAGCTACAATACTAGAGGTTCTTAAATGCCCTCCCACTGAAAGTGAAGTGAAACATTCAACTGAAATGGGCAAATAAGAACAAAGAGGATGAAGAGAGAAGACAAGTGATTGCTTGACACTGGACTACACTGCCAGAAAGTCTGTCTTGCTGCTATACAAATAGCATGGTATATCAAGAAAGAAGCAGCCCTTTGAAAGTGTGTATACCATGCAAAGCTGAAGGATGGAGCTCCTATAAACCTGGCATGAATCAAGCTGAAAATATTTTAACACCCTTCTTCAAAAAGTAACCCATGCAGTGTCACCCTGAATATCATCTACTTTTTATTAACAGTCTTTAGAAAGTTCAAAAGGATCATGTTACATCAGACTGTCACTTTCCTATAATGTTAAGAGTCACATGGTGGTTCTAAAATGCCAGCTATGTGCTCTGTTAAAACTAGACAAAAGCCAAAGGTGTTTGTAGTACGTAATCAGTCTTTCTACCTTACTGGCATACTTGAATTTTAATAGCTGTCGATCTTATAAAGAGCATTTATATCACTAAGGTAACTGCTCTCCAGAACTGTTCAAGACTTTTCTATTAGAATGATTCCCTGATAAAAAGAATAGTTTAAAAAGAATGCATTTTCAATGTAAAAAATTCCCCAGAAGGTCTTGATTGTGCTGTACAGATTTTTTTTCTTTTTTGTTTTTTTAATCAAGCTCCTTGGCTCTAAAATTCTCTTCAGCCTGCCTGGCAAAAAGCATGAGAGATAATATTCTAAGGTTCACCTGACTCCAAATCCCAAGTGTGCCTGGAGAGATGTCACAGGAAAAAAATTTCCAGGCTCCTTACCATACCAAACAGTCTGGTCAGGTAAAAGAGCCTAATTCCTCAAATGGACAGCCAAGGAATACTGAGGAGGAAACCAAAAAACCTGAATTTTCCCACAAACAGTATTTTTCAGACATTTCTTTTGCCTTTATAGCCCAGTCCTGGTGAATTAATATATGCTTATATCTAAGTATATGTAACTATCTATCTACATATATATATTTAAAAAAATGTTTTTTATTTAAATATAAATTAAATATAAATGTTGTATATGCATGTGCATTATATAGATATACCTATATTTTATATTTTATAGATGTATATTTTTAATATATATGTATCTAAGACAGAAACATACATTTATTTTCTCATTCACAATAGGACATGTCTATAGCTCAGGCAGTTCTACCGCATATCATGTCATCTGTTCTATATTAGGTGGACATTTCTCCTTTCCGT